CGAGGTGCGGTAACTCGAGTTTTCGGTATGGATTTGATTGAGATTCAAGGCTTTAATTGTACAGTATCTGCATTTATTCGGTGAGTGGCTCGAATCACCCCATCCCGTGGTTACATATCAGGCAACTGACGTCAACGCTGCTTGCGATCACTTCGCACTAATTTGTAGCCAAGAGTGCTTGTTTTCGATCGTAAGTCTGAATCTCGAAGGATGAGTCACAAGAAGCGGAATTTGTGAAACTGTGATAGAGCAGTTGGAAAATGAGTCGAATCTGAAGGGTGTAAATAGCATAGAACAAACCGACGTATTTTGCAGTCTTGGAGGAAGGAAAAATCCACCAGTTGACGTCACCTTTAGACACAAACCCGCTAGGTCAGTCCGCCTAAATCAATGACTTGAAAGTGTATGTGAATCCAGATCCTTCAAAGTTCCCACTACGAAGCGCCAAGCACCAACATACCTAAGTATACCGATGATCTGGAACTTGCGAATTGGTACATGCTACATAAACGACCTCTGTTCCCCTCAAAGAGACTAAATGTTACGTCTAATAGGCCTTTCATGGTCATTCATTGCACTGATTCTGAAAATTTTCTCAGCACTGGCAAAACGCGGATAATTGGAAATGGAAACGATAGTCGCAGTAGTTTGTTGGTATTACGCTACAAGGTATTTTGGGGAGCTTACAAAAGAAGGATTTGACAAGACCTTACAGACCAAACCGCTTTTATTTCAGGCACCCATGTTACGCAAGACTCTCACTTGGTTGGCATTACATCCTCTCCTGTATGATTCGGAACACTTAATCTAAGTCACTTTTGCTAACACAAATGCGGTCAATCTTTTATGACAGAATTGACCTTCTTATGCATAACTCTAACGTTTGAGAACAAAGAGCTTCGTCTGTAGATCTATGTGTATGCGAAACAACTAAACGCTGCTGAACTCACTTGGTTGGCATTACATCCTCTCCTGTATGATTCGGAACACTTAATCTAAGTCACTTTTGCTAACACAAATGCGGTCAATCTTTTATGACAGAATTGACCTTCTTATGCATAACTCTAACGTTTGAGAACAAAGAGCTTCGTCTGTAGATCTATGTTTATGCGAAACAACTAAAAGCTGTTGAACCTTTGGAGGGTTTTCAACCATCCTCCACAAAACTAACAGCCGTAACTGTTCCATAGTATTGGTCTCAGACATTCCAAACTTGTCTCTCAGATTTGCCTTCCAGCCATTCAAAACAACACTGGTTTAACAGCATAGCCCCAACTCGGACTAGATAGCGGCATTGTCTTACCACAGCTAGACGAATCCTGTGATTGGTTAGACTGTCATCGATTAGCATGGCAAAGCTTCGCTCTTCTCGCAATGCCATTCATTTCCAGTCGTCTGCGCTTTGTTTGGCTAATCGGATGCACCTGCAAACTCACTAAAGGTAACCGGTTGTAGAAAAGACACGGAAGCAAGGGGAAACCTTCTTGTCAGAGAGCTGGAAGGAAATTACACAAAACTGTCCAAGAACTTCTCGTGTATCTCGGATGGAAATGAACAACCCGATTAAATTTGTAATGATAGCCATGTGTTTTAGTCCTAATCTTAGTCCTTATGAAGTTTTTGTGCGAGAAAGTGAAAAAACTGTTCAAACCACCCAAATAAAAGCAATACAACAACTTAACGCCATATATTAATTACAGGTAATCGGAGGATGTGATTTTTAAAGTGAACCGGGACCCTACATCTTGTGAGCACTGAAAATGTTCTGTAGATACAGCTTTCACCCAAATTCTGAGCGCAACTTTTGAATTGATCTTAGATAGTCAATACCCATAATATAGGCTTTAGTGCCAAGTCTTCCGATTACTCTAGAGTACATCTTGGAGAGAAGTGTAGTCAAAATTACCACAGCACGAGACCCCGAAGTGAACAACAATCTGGACAAATCACACTAATATGTATCTTTAGATGTGGATGTTTCGGTTGTCAGTACAATTTTAGCACACCTCCGGTTTCCTTCTAATGCAATTTTCATTCAGCTGAACAACTGCCCACAGCTCAACCGACCGGCCTCATATAATAGTACCTTCCAGGATAAGAAGTAGATCATAGATCTTACAAAGTATGTCGCAGCTGTACCCCGCCGCATATCCTTGGAGTATTATGAAAAATATATTACGACTACTGGATAGTGGAATCGTAAAGTCAATTGGAGTCTTTTTTCGCGAAATAATGCACAATCATCCTACCAAGTTCACGGATTACGCAACAACCCCTGCCTTATTTAGAATGTGGACGTGCAATAAACCCAATCTATGGCATTCTCCTCTAAAGCGATGGCTCTGCCTTGCTCTGTTACACTGCCAGTACAAGGTAACTGAATGAGATCTCGACCTCCTGGCAAACAGCTCAGACAAATATGTTCTTACTTTTCCAGCTACGCTGGTAATGCTCACAATCAAGCGCTCAGTTTTACTACATTTTAAATCATACAACTCTCTGGACCGACTGTTTCTGCTCACAACCGTGGGGGATTTTTCACTGTATTTAATTAAGATTTGTTCACTGTGTCCAAGATATCCATCTACCTTTGATGTATCCCCGGTAGATTAATTTGTAACACTAACCATGATGCAGGATACTAGCTGACGGGTCGCCCTGTCAATTAAAATCGACAAAGTATACAACCACTTTGTCGACGTGGACTACACATTATGTATATACACTCTGTATATACTATACTACACTACACTGTACTAAACAACACCACAATGTACTCATCACATCCTACCATACCATATTGTATATACCATATGTATATATATGCTGTGTGTACAAATACTACCAAGACATACGGAGGGTTAATAGCTCAGGTTCCTTCCAAATCGGCCTAATTCATTTAGCGAGTGGATCTACTTGCTTATCAAAATCAGCAATGCTTGGAAGCAAGTAAGACGTGTGGCTGAATAAGACAACATCGTGTATTTCATGCAGATCGCTACTAAATGCAACTGAGTATTGTTAAAATTTTATCCGGAAGTTTACCTGGGTTCGATTTCCTCTAGATGTTTGTCAGATGCGCACCGACGACAGCCTTTAGCAAGCTCAAAACTGCTGTTCAGTGTTTCGCAACTTTTCAACTTGGAAGGTTGGGATCAGTTCAAGCTTAAACTCTGACAGGTCACTCGAATTACACCTAGGCACAATTAACTTTAGGCCGTTTCTTCCCGTTTCCAATGGAGTTGCAAATCACGTAGTCACCAGGTCACTCGACCCTATTGGCCATAGGTCCTCGATGGAAAATTCGCTGTGTCGATTGTTACGCGGTACGTAGGCGGTTTTGTGCAGCATAATTTAGACTTTATATAGTATGCCTACCAACAGGGTCATAATTAGGAAATTGATGGAATTTGGTTTCCAGTCTGAGCAATGTACGGTCGCCTACACTAGACTCCTAAAACTTCTCGCGATTCATCTCATAAACTTCAGTTGCAAAACCCTCCTGGTAAGCCACAGAACCATGTACCATCCGCACAAACCTCAACGACTAGAATGTGCGTAAGCTGTTGCTGTTCACATGAAAACAAAAAACAGCAAACTCAACAGACTGTCCATCATTTACCGTTTTTCATTCCGATTAGGCGCGTGCAAACTAAGTACCAAAAGCCATGGATTACTTCAAATCCATCAAGGTCATCTCTGTGTCCATCATGATGTAGACACAGGTAAATAGGAATCCCAGACACAGAGCCAAACAAAGCTGATAGATTGTTTTGATCCTGGGTGCGTTCTGTCCTGAAAAATATCAGAATGGCTCACAGTACGCATGGGATGGTGGACATTTGTTGAATGAACAGTTCTTACATTCCTGTCCGTAAATAGCTGACCACCAAGTAAGCCAGTTTAGTCTCAAATGCAACCATTTACGTTATTCACCCCTTTAAACATACTGCCTATCGTCGGCTGATACGTCACTCATGATCACACCACATGACTGAGGCATACACATTTTACTCTGGGATCCTCCAAACAGTCCCCAGAACGATCTATGTGTGCATCAATCAAGGCAAAATCACTTTCAAAGCGGGTTGGAGGACGCAACAAGTACGTTTCTGATTATGCTGTGATTTAAGCAAGGTGTCAGTGAAACTTTTGGGGAATCTGAAAATAGTATTCAGGGTTGTTATGGTCCAGGATGCCGTACGGATTCACGACCAAGAAACACTGTTCATTCGAAGTGGCGTTCTGTCGCACATAGCACGTATTACATCCCTACCATTCATACCAAAAGAAACTGAGTGTACGATTTCGCTGGATAAATTGGTGTGGGAACGAAGCACTGTTTGAAAATGCACAGGGCTTTGAATATTCACCATCTGTGGAAGCAGCTTGGCCTATGATAAGCACATCCTCAGTTCAGAGTAATCTTAAACCTCGGTCAGAATATAAGCCTTCAAAACAGAGGCGAACAACTGGTGTTCTTTTCATGAGGAGATGAACTCTTCAGAAGGCTACTTAAAACAGTTTAACGGCCCACGATCGGTTTTGCCCGCCTTGGAGCTCTTCGGTTAGGCCCAATCAGCGTACTGCGTTAAGCTTAAGTTTTAAGTAGACATCAAATTGCATCCAACAAGTGAAATACGGTCAGCTGTAAATTAAGCTGGTGTTAGCGGGGACTTATATAAATGCTACTTGTGTGGTACACTCAGTTGAAGGATGTCATAACACAGAGATCTGGGTTGAATTTGGCTGGTCCTCCGGTGCACATCAGCTTGGTTTGCAGTGCGTTTCAACAATAGGTGCTGTTGTAGACAGTTGATACTTTCACAGAGGCATCTGCGTCACCACCTTCTCCAACGCAAAGTTATCATTATTAGTCTGTTTCTCAAAGTTGAAGTGCTTTTTTCAATTCAGGACGACTATTCGTGATTAGAAACTTCTGATGATATTGGTATAGTTCACATTACAAAACCCAGTGTCCAAATCACAGAACACTCTTGGTCAAGAGCACAGTTACGTATTACTCGGTGAACAACATTCCTTACACGCACACAGTCATCGGGAATGACGAAGAAAAACCTGGTATGTGTACATAAATAGGTACAGACCAACAGAAAAGCACAGAAAGAAATCAAAAGAAAATAGTCGCAGGTTATGAAGTGTTGAGGCGCATCCTAACATGGACCAGTAATGAGCAGCGTAAGTGAATGGTTGGCACAAACAGGAGATGGCGCAGCTTCTCTATAAGCCAATTAGTGATACACTACTCCGTGAATGATGAATGATCCGGGTCAGGCATACACACGAGCTTACGGCATAGAAGACGACGTGTTTCAAAATAAATTTTGGAAAAAGATACACCAGATACTTAGAGCTGAAACGGGGAATAAATCAGGCCGCCAGAAAAGGAAAGGGTTAGATTAGCAAGTAAACGGACAAGTATGCGGAATCCGTATAAAATTGAGGTTTTACGGAAATGAAATTGACAACCACAAGGATATGATTATTGCATCCATTAGTCCTTTAGATGGGATAAAGTGACCTCCGACCATGTCCCGATGGTTAAGGTGAAATCACAAGGCGCTGCTGAAGACAATGAAAGAACCTTCGACCGGAAGAAACGTTGTACAGAGGGGTACAAATCACGAAATATTGACACGCCGCTCAAGAATAAGACAGGAGTAGAAGAGAAAGAGATGGAGCAAAGAAAAACATCACGGATTTTACACAGGATGAAAGTACCTTGTAGTGGAGAGTATATGATGGATATAGTGAGGTAAGGAATTGTCCTTTGTATGAAGTTTTCAGGAACAGCCGATGCAGCACGAACCGGGGTGGCACCAAATATCGCGTATCAGTAAGGCATTCCATGTATTTCGTAAAAAGCGGCGTATGGAATAGAGAAACGCATACATGAACATTCGCACATACTGTCTCTCAGGACCAGAGCAGGGAGAGCCCGGCTGATATTACATTTCTTACGGGGGTGTAAATATAAGCATCAAAGCTGGATATCATAGCATTGTTTCGCATGGCATAGATGACGGTAGATTCACTGCTTGGGTTAGTTTCCATGAGGATGATCAAACCTGCAAACACCATCATTGCAACCACGGTCACCGTTGTAGCTTTCACAGCTCTTCCAGAATCAAAGCACTTTCCTGTCTCTGTCAGCGTACACCGCGGTTCCTTTGTGTTGTCTACTAAGCCATCAGAAAAAACTGTTCCTTTCTTCGAGACCGGTCCATTTCTGATCATTGAAGCACTCCCGTTGTTCGACGAAACGCCATTAGAGGATGGAGTTAACTTTGGATCACCAGATGGAGCAAATCTATCCAGATGCGTGTCAACCGTGTGGTCAAATTCCGATACTACTTGCTGATAGACGACAGACTGGACCAATTTGGAGTCAATTCTGTTCCGAATTCCCAATGAACTCTAGGATGTTTGTAAACCAGAGATAGTAAAAAAATGAGTTTTCTTAGAAGTATAAATAGTATAAGGTATCGCACGGAGGTCTTTTGTATATTTATTACCGAAAAGCTGAGTAGTTAGTCATGAACTGTGATCAAGATACAGAAAGTGAAATTCATGGGTGATGACGCCCTCATATGAGGCTGTTGGTAAAAATACCCAGTCACAGCATGTGCTATTATCGAGTTTTTGGCTTGGATGAGACTGCAAGGGGATAGTTTTACTTCTAGTTTCATTCGGTGGTAAGGTGCCTGTTACAACTAGCAATAGATGGTGAAAAGAGCACTACTAGAGCTGTTCTAATTCATATTGCGTACTTGTAGTCATCCATTGCAGTGTGTATTATGAAGTCAATTTTTATATGGCAACCCTTACACTTACTTCATCACAACTGTCATGATTCCGCTGGATCTTCGGGTCGGGCATGCTTGCCTGTTGTGGCACCTGTTTCGCTTCGATCGGAGGTTCTTCAACCGGTTGGGAGAAGCAAGCCGATTCCAAGGCAGGTTCTCTGTAACAAATTAAAATGAGTGCTGAATTCACTGGTCAGTATTTTCTAACAAAATACAGGAAAATGTCTTATAGATGCGGTAGAATTATTAAGATAGTCGAGAAGGGTGATGCCAACAATTTGAAAAACTACGTCGGTCAGGGGTACCGTCACCAAGAATCACCAATCTTAGGAAGTGGAATCACTCTATATCTGCTTGACTGCACAAGTGAATTCCCACGATAGGTTGATAAGCAACTGCAAAGTCCCATCATTTGGGTCGAAGCAGAATCACCCTGAAGTTGGACTACTTAGTTCATCTCCACAAAAGTTAATGAAACGGAAAGGTACAAACGACAGGAGGAAGCGCATCGGCCTTAATCCAGGTTTTGTTTTGGACCCGAGGCAATGAACCAGGAAATGAGGCGCTGAAAGCGTCATGAATCTATTCGCTGGTGCTCATGTGGGCAGTAAACGTCAAGAAACCTGAGGTTTCATGAAGCCAATTTATGTACAAATTTCGCCCCAGGTTTTGTTTGGACCCGAGGCAATGAACCAGGAAATGAGGCGCTGAAAGCGTCATGAATCTATTTGCTGGTGCTCATGTGGGCAGTAAACGTCACGAAACCTGAGGCTTCATGAAGCCAATTCATGTATAGATTTCGCCAGTGGAAAATATGTCTTATGTTTTCTGGATGTGGAGAAGTTTGATTAATCACCCTCCTATTTGGTTTATTAGGTAGAAAGTTTGTACTTAAATGAGGAAAATCCTAATAGTGCACACAAAGTAAGACCGCAACGAAAATTTTTGTTAAATATGAAGTCAGCTAGATTTCAAGCCATATGGGAGAATTTATTGACAAGAGAATGACATAGCATCCAGCCACACAAGTACTTACATTTCCTGGTTGTTTATAATAGTCAAAGTCGGAACGTCCTCCTCTGTAGGGCTTTCAGTTACCGTGTCAGGTATGAGAACTGTCGGTAGAGTGAAAAATAGCATCAAGAAATCCTGTATGTTATTCGGACAGAAACTCCTATAGCAAGTGATCAGAGCTAAATTCTTGGCTAGTTTAGACCCCATCATCTTGAATTAGTGACGGTCAACCCAGTCAAGGTAACAAATATATATATCTGGTCACGCTGGTGGGCACGACATGATCAAAGGCATGTATGGCACAATTTTTCAACTCGAAAAGTCAACGCCATTGCTCTCGAGAGCAGGATAGAAATTTACTAGTTTATATGTATGCCACCGAACAATATCTCACCCCTCTAGCCAGATAACACTGACCAAGCAACCGATTTTTACTAAACCGTTTTAAATTGCGTCCTTGTTTGCAAACGCATTTATGCCTAACGAGGAAATTGTGCACCCGCCTAGAGTGGCACAATTTTTCAACTCGAAAAGTCAAAGCTATTGCTCTCGAGAGCGGCATAGAAATTTACTAGTTTACATGTATGCCACTGAACAATGTCTCATCCCTCTAGCCAGATAATACTGACCAAGCAACCGATGTTTACTAAACCGTTTTAAATTGTGTCCTTGTTTGCAAACGCATTTATGCCTAACGANAGGAAATGAGGCGCTGAAAGCGTCATGAATCTATTCGCTGGTGCTCATGTGGGCAGTAAACGTCAAGAAACCTGAGGTTTCATGAAGCCAATTTATGTACAAATTTCGCCAGTGGAAAATATGTCTTATATTTTATGGATGTGAATAAGTCTGATTAACCACCTTCTTATTTAGTTTATTAGGTAGAAAAGTTTGTACTTAAATGAGGAAAATCCTAATAGTGCACACAAAGTAAGACCGCAACGAAAATTTTTGTTAAATATGAAGTCAGCTAGATTTCAAGCCATATGGGAGAATTTATTGACAAGAGAATGACATAGCATCCAGCCACACAAGTACTTACATTTCCTGGTTGTTTATAATAGTCAAAGTCGGAACGTCCTCCTCTGTAGGGCTTTCAGTCACCGTGTCAGGTATGAGAACTGTCGGTAGAGTGAAAAATAGCATCAAGAAATCCTGTATGTTATTCGGACAGAAACTCCTATAGCAAGTGATCAGAGCTAAATTCTTGGCTAGTTTAGACCCCATCATCTTGAATTAGTGACGGTCAACCCAGTCAAGGTAACAAATATATATATCTGGTCACGCTGGTGGGCACGACATGATCAAAGGCATGTATGGCACAATTTTTCAACTCGAAAAGTCAACGCCATTGCTCTCGAGAGCAGGATAGAAATTTACTAGTTTATATGTATGCCACCGAACAATATCTCACCCCTCTAGCCAGATAACACTGACCAAGCAACCGATTTTTACTAAACCGTTTTAAATTGCGTCCTTGTTTGCAAACGCATTTATGCCTAACGAGGAAATTGTGCATCCGCCAAGAGATTATCCAAAATGCTTCTATGAGAGTATTGACAGACAAAGAATTCTGAATCACTTGGCTGTCAAGCTGTAGCAAGCCATATGAAAAAATTGCCATAAACAGATTTATGAACCCAAAAGCAACAAGCGGACTACAGGACATTAGCAGAGTTCCTCGATCATAATCGTGTTTGTGAACTCCTTTGAAAAAGTGATCCAGGTCGATTAAAAATACACATGCGGAAGAGTTTACACTCCCTTCCAAAGTACTTGAACAAATTCATGTAAGTTTATGGAAGTATAACGGATCTACATTGTTAGGATACAGGTATGCCATCAGCTGCTAGTCAGCAAATGGGTAACCATGCGTTGGTATCTGTGGCTACTGCGCTGAGCTAAATCAATGGAACTTGAGTCACCTCACTCGATAACACTGAGCAATAAACTTCATTTACTTGATCCCACAGATTATTTAACTTCCGACACCAGCTGTCATAGTAGGAACGACGCAGAAAAGAAAACACGGTAACACTCGACGAAGAGCTTTCAGCATGCTTTTAAGCAGTTACCTTTAAGCAGGGTCTGACATTTTTTTAAAATGAGCGCCATCACTAAGTTCGTGTAGAAGTGCTTCTTGTTGATCTCCCCGGCAGAATTAAATAAGAAGAATAAAGTGACACAGGTCACCGGTGAACGAAACTGTGGCAGCTACAAACACTGTACGGTAAGTAAGTAGTTCTTACAGCTCAGTATAATGACGATGGTGGCTATTTCGGACATTGAATCTGATATCTGATGACATGTATCACTACTGTTTGCACAAGGATATTGTACACTGATATGCTGCCTTTACTGCTGGCCTCAGACATGCGCCCGCACATAAGCACTGAATTCGTCAATTTACTTAATCATATGTCAAAGGATTGAATCTGATATCTGATGACATGTGTCACTACTGTTTGCACAAGGACTATTGTACACTGATATGCTGTCGTTACTGCTGGCCTTAGCCATGCGCCCACGCAGGAGCACTGACTTCGTCAATTTACTTAATCATATGTCAAAGCAGGAAGGACTCTTTTTACCGGACATACATCGACCTTGTGTTTCTGGCTGAAAACACAACTAATGCTTGACTTATGTCTAGACTGGAGAAGGGTATCAAGGTTAAACCGCATAACAGTGGCAATGGAAACTTCTCAGACGATCGTCTGTAGGTGCTGGTAGGGGGGGTGGGCAGTATAACTGGTGTATACCGTATTAATCGCGCAAATTAACTGATAAGAGATCTTTGCAGACTAGTCAAACTTTTCAAAATCAATGATTGTATGGAGATGTATTTCTCCAAACGTCACCATTGTTAGTGACTAACATAGGTCATTTACCATAGACAGTTAGCAGAATTAGTTTCAAAGGTTTAGCTGAACGGCGTTCATCTCGAGAGGGAAATGTGTTACTTCCTGTTTGCCCGGGAAGAAGGAGATAATGTGAATGCGTGGCAACCGCTGCCCACAAAAGGGTGCAGCTTTTTGAAGAATTAGACTAACTAAGTTTGCTAGAATGCATCGCCAGCCAAGGTGGATCCTATCGGGTCTCCCGGAAACATCAGGAAAAATAAATTTGCCATTGTCTAGCGTGAAAAGGAAGCAACAGATCTGTAGTGAAGCAGTCACTGAAAGTGTGGAGCCGAACCAGAATGCAGATCTTTGCATGAATTTTCAGCCCGTCACACTTTGACAGGAGGTGTGCATTTTCTAGTGAACCATATAAAAGAGCCTATTCAAAGTGCACTGCTTTCAGGAGTAAACGAAGTGAGCGAGGTATATAATAACTGGGTATTTTTAAGGCTCACGACTGCTATGTAGGTAGACTTGCTCCGCCGAAGTTTGGTTGGACATGGACACTGGAGTGGGCTATTCGGGCGACTGACAGAGATTTTCGGCGGTAATTTTTGGGGCACCGCTGAGCATTATTTCTTCCGGTTAGTTGAACTGAATACGATCAACCCAAGAAAGCGTATCACACAATCGAAGACACACATAAGATATCAAACGAGTTGCTCATGCAAGTGTGGTGGGTGTCCACCAAAACTGAGTAAGAAACCAATTGTGAACGTGTGCCCGAATTTCCCACGCGAACATCTGACGCAGAGACATCAAACATATCGACCGCACGGTATGAAGAATATAAATTCAAATGCATGTCAATGGAATCGCAGTTGCGCACAAAGCATGACAAACTTGGCGCCAGTGTAATGCATAAATGAATCCGTCGGCTACACAGTTTTGGTCCTAAGGACTAGTATTTTAACTCGTGTAAATTGTCTTAAAAATTGGTGCGATTTACAAAAGATCATGTGAGTAGCGTTCCTCACGGACATCAGAAAATTCAAAACCTTGGGAGGGGCGATATTGTCTGTGTTACGCTTCAAGAGCTGGAGTGTGAACTCCTAAAATATCAGTTGAGGAAACCAATAGTCATCCAAACAACTGAATGGGGAACAGATGTCTAAAAACGATTAGCTCTGGCTGTACCTTTCACATGGATCGCTCACACTATGGTTGATTCCTTACTCTATTGTGCAAGTTTCGAACCCGCCAAATTTCTGTTAACCTTTTCAGAGTCCTCATCATTATTGTTAGAAAAAGAAGAAATCTGAACCGGAACATATCACTAATTCAGATTTGCTCAAGGTAGCATTTTATAAGCATTTTATTTTAGTAGCATTTTATTAACTTATCTTGCTTTAAACCTTGTAAAACAGTGGGCTTGTTCTGGTACTTCAAGTTACATCTGCGATGTTCAGACTTCACTCAGCTACGGAGCATAAAGTCAGATATACGGCCTTAGTAAGACAGAACGTAGCAGCCGAAGCAGACTAGGAATTTAAAGTGCACTGGCAAGGTTACGCATAAGTACATCAACACTGACTTTGTTGCGGATAATGACAATGGTGGGGATGCCCTAAAACAACTAATAAACTTTGACACAATAACGGTCGTGTCTTCACAAAGTAATTAAAAATACCATATGCATTTGAAAGCACTGTTTAAATATAAGAAAACTCAACAAGTGGGAGAGACATACCAGCCCTTAGGGTCTCCGAAACTGGATTGTGGTCAGCCGGGACTTCAACAAGTTCATTGTAGCGATACTCTCTCAGGTCAAGAGGAGGTCGTATTCGGGTCGGTAGTGTGGCGTGTCCAAGAGAAGCATTACCGTAGCCACCATCGCGACGCAAGCTCGAGACCCTGGGGAGTAAGTAAATAGTCAGCCATCCACGTTAATCTTTAAATATGGCGACAATTTCCGAGCAGTATCCCTCGAGAAAGTAAATTAATTCTGTTTATGTTTTTGCATTTGCTGAGCGTAGCAAACAAACGCGCTGCAATTTCGCACAACCTGATTAGAACTACAAATCAGGCTGAATGCGTTGCACAGTACCTAAAAGACCATAAGCGACCACCATTAAGTGAACATTTCCACAGATTCATGGTGCCTACTATTGTTAACCATCACCAGCAAGAAGATCGGCGATAAGAAAGGAAGTGCTGTAAGGAAAACAACCAGGTCTTTCAAGTGATGCTGTGATTTAAGTTTGAACAGGTTTTCCATTAGTAGAGTGGAGACGCTCAACAGGGACCGAACAATAACATGATAGTAGAGGTACATCATTTAAGGTGAAGCCGTGAGAGTGTGGAGCAGTCGCAAGACGTCACAAACAACGTTTTGCTTTGCGAACAAATATAATACATACCGTATGAATTCTGTGCTCGAGTTCTTGATAGGGATTGAACTAAGTTCTTGATGAGACCGACCACTAGAAAACAAACACATTTAGAGGTTTCAGTAAATGAATGAAAACACGAGCAAAAATACGAAAAAACCTTCAAAATTAGATCTGGTTAGAGATTTCAAACAAAATTGCTCCTAACAGGGAAAAAACGATCATGATGAAGTACAGCTTTGCGTGACATCTTGAGACAAATACACTCTGAAAGAGCAACAGTAGCCTTAAAACAGGCGACAAAATTGACTTGCAACGACTATCGAATTGGGTGACCAACCAACGTCGTACAAGGCAGTATCCGTGTGGGCGTTACGTAACTGGCCCAATCCCAAAAATTCCTTCTATCGATTTCCGTTGTAACGACGCTAAGCAGCTTCACTCGTAGAGTGATATTAAAACGGATAATCAAACGAATTGGGAAACATTAATGAACCATGCGCTGCGTGGTTGTGTGATGCTTATGAGTGGAACGACCTTGAAAACGTCTAATGGGACGAATTGGACAATAAGTTAGTTACCTGAAACGATAGGTGTGACTTCTGCGGAAAATGCTGGAACTCGGTCGGACCCGCTTTGCTTCACCAGCCTGCTTTAATCTTAAATGAGACAAGAAAGTGAGAAAATTTGAAGAACATGATCTTGTAAAGTTGTGGTTGTAAGAAACTAATACGTAAGAAGCTTTGCTTAGAATTCACTCCTCCCTCTATTTAGCTTAGTAAGGGACTACAAGTTGAAATCAAGCCACACCCAGCTTTATAGAGCCGTTTTAGACAAATCGATTATCATTGAACCGACAAATATCACGTAGTGAGGCAAGTGAGAAGAACAATTGGCTGGGTCGATGAGAAAATCACGTGAGAAATGAATGTTCAACCACAGTCATTAGGGCTAGGCAAACACCGGTGAAAAACAAACTCATTTCAACGAGTGGTAATTAGTTATAGGATTTGTGTTAGAAGTAGAAATAAATCGTTTCAAAAATGTAAGCTTATGTACGACGGGCATTGTCAAAATTGTTACATATGTCAACCGGCTTGCGTCACAGACCGAGTGAACTTAGTACGAACTGAGTAAAACACTAAAAGCCCTTTTCTATCCTAACAAAGCGTGTCTATCTCAGCGCAGCTGAATTCCCCGTTGAAGTGGGTGACAGCGGAGTGGGGACGTCACCATTAACCAGCAGTATTCATGAAATTACCTTGAAGACTGGCACTATTTGTTACCCAGTCCACTATCGCCGATCCAATTCGATAGTGTCGGCACTTGTGATGAAGCTAACTTGATGATGCAACCTTGCGCGGTTCATGGATAGGACATAGATAGCGGATGACGAGTACACACAACCGGCAAATATGTTGCAGTGTGTGCATGCATTCTGAACGTAAGTTAACCTTTGAAGAGCATAACGGGATCCGATGCGCCCTCTTGGTTCACAGCTGCCCGGTTATGGTAAAATTATGACGGAATTATGAGGAGTGAATCGTACCGCAGACCCTGCTGGGTGCTTTCCAAACCTTCGGTTAGCACCGCACTGTTCCCCTATACAGAAACACAGTTCGACTCTGCTCAGAACGTCCGAGTTCCTTATACGTTAGTGCACTTTGGGGTCACTTGTACGGTAACAGTGACGTTTTTGTGAACCAAATACATACAGTCCAAAGGCAATAACTACATACAATATAAATCCACCTCAGTTAAAAACCGTCTATGCCATAGTGATCCAGCAGTTCCGTCAAATATAGGTTTTTCACGGTGCTGACTAAAAAACTTACGTGAAAAAACACTTGCGATCCATCGTCCAATGCCAAATGGCCAAAGCAGCAGCCTTGGATTCGCACTCGAATGTGAGGTGGTGTGTTTTGTTCTGCAATCAAAATTGAATAAACACTAAGAATGTAAGCAATAGAATAACCATGAAATTGCGTAGAGTGAAGCAACCACACAGGTAAAATGTCGCGCGAAACAAACAACACGTGTGCATGACGATGAATGACGTTACGCTGAAGTAGTATGACGTGCATGAGCTCAATAGGTAGATGAACTTTATGATTAGGAAAGTGGGCAAGAAAAGTACTGAGTTACAGAAACGACTTTGTTTAACTGTGAGATATCGGAGGTATCGTTCGTGAAATTTAAGATCGCAAAATTGTCACCAAAGCAATCAGAATCCAATCTATGCACTGTGGGGAATGACGCGTGAAATCCACCGATTATGACGTATGAGGCAGGCAAACGAAGGAAGTGACATACGTATTTTACATCAGTTAGAAAATAGAAAATAAAACGGGTTTAAAAAGGGCAGTACTGGTACCCGCAGAAATCGCCTTTTTGCTGAGGACTACAAAGAAAAACAAAATTAGCATGGTAAAATATAAGTCTTCTAGTCCCAGGTTTTCGCAAATATTCTATGGAAACGCCTGGGAGAGTGAGAAGCTGGCACCCTAAACAAAGGATGTTGTGTCGCTATGGTAAAAGGCTCGGCAGACATGGTAAGATAATGACCAAAAACTGTACTGCCCATACATTTCCGGAAGAAAATCCAACTTATTTGTCAAACGTTTTTGCAATGAAACCCCATGTCGATGTTCTTAAGTGGTGCCCGTGAAGCTAACTCACTCCGGAAGACCGAGGCGGTTAAAATAATAAGACCAATCTTGCTTGGTTGCATCCAAAGGAAGAAATTAGCCATCCAAAAACAACGAAATGATATAACGCCAAAAAAACAACTGTTTAACAAAAGTTTTAAACGGATTCAACAATACCGTATGCCTCTTTCGGGAGGTATGGTCGGGTTGAGAACTGGAATGTAGCTTCGACGTACTGTAGACATTTCGTAGTATTGGACCTATACTGTGGCGGCGTACTATTGCATTGGATATCTTCACAATGTTAGAAAAAAGTATGGTACGAAAGGAGAGAAAGGAAACAGGCAAACGAAATGGCAAGCTAAAATGCTGTGAAAAGTTCCCCGTATAAAATCTTCTATTTCAAATCCGTTTTTACACCTGATTCTTAGTTTATGGTGCTCTTAGAATGGAATGTCTACTAATTCAATTTAATGCGCTTTAGTCTGTGCACTCGTTGCACTATTGTTAGCTGATCCACTTTAGTATTGTGACGTCGCCTATCCTGACCGGTAGATTTCACTCTGTCCTGATTACTATTGGAGATTTGTTGACATCACACCATGATATGCTCATAGAGGAGGTCGGCTAAAAGACGATAGAAATAATGACATATTCATACACTACATCTAAGCAGCCTCACACATACCGCCCACTAACGACTGCTACGAAGGAGTTGTTGAACCTGCAGACTGATCGGAGGTTCCAAATACATCTGAGCTAAGAGGACTGAACGCAAATTTTGACGACATAGTTTGTGTCCTTCATTGTTACACTTCTGTTTGCCCTAGGATGTAAAATAAACTGTCCAAATGCCTTTCTAGAAGTACAACAGATCGTCCTTTGTACCCCTTGTTATCGAATTCGGTCACGAACATCATTATGGAATGTACAATACGGGGGATAAAATTTAGGAATCTAGGCAAAATTGGTGAACTTGAAAGAGCAGTACGGTACTGTTGGACTGCGTAACGATCATCACTTGCCCTATATTCTTGTCTGTTCTAGTCAAAACCACACAGATGGATGCTCAAGTAACTAGGCCTTATATTGTGGTGCTAGAGTTCTGGCGATTCATGTAATTTCTACAATAGAGTCACGACATTATCATGATTGGAAACCGCGTGGATATTCAACAGACACATTTGGTTTACGGAATTACACAAAGCGATTTGTGGTGAAATATAATATGAGTATAGCCAGATATTAGTAGCCGTGTTGGTGGATTTGTTTCGTGGCTGTCTTTGTGAGGGTCCTCTCCAATAAGGCCGCACACCACTTATACTGCAACAGCCACGTAAAGCTCCTTCCTGAAGCAAGCAGTGTACCGCTTATCTTTTCCAAACAGACACTTTCTTAATATTCGCATAACGATAGAATTAAAGCTTTTCTAAAATCTCCGTCAGGATAGGACATGGTACTTGCAATGTAATCATTACAGTCCATAATTCAGGATAACATATAACACTAGAATCACCAGAATTAGATCTAAAATGCTGAGTTGCTAAGGTATCCTGTAGATGACAGTTTTACTCAAAGCACCCATGATGATACTAGGAGGCACGTGTGAGATTTCGTCACGTTTACCAATAGGAAGTGATGCTGAGTTTACAAATGTTGATAAGTGTTGCTTGTGGTATCACGCAGTCACCTTGTGATACACTACCACAAAACAAAGACCTCAATAAAGTCATAGTAAATAAATCCTGGTGGTGATACAAAGCAGACTGCCTAGTTTGACTTCATCCACTCTGGAACTACTTAGTTAGGTCGCAGGCACGAAAGCAGACAAATAAGTTGGGCGTAAGAGACGTAAAAGTAACTCGCCTTATTTTGTCATCTGACAAGTGTCCGTTACATGATTATTATCAGGCAATTTCCGAACATTCTATAATGAGCGGAGCTTGCTTTTATTCAGATACTTTCGGATCGGATTCATCCATCATCCTAGGCTATTCATAGCTTAAAAATGTGCAATAACGAATGAAACCGGAGGAAGAGCTAAGTAGTAGAAACCGTTAATTTCTCCTAATATGTCGTCAAAGTATATAGTTTGTATACTTGGTGATTAACTAACTGAATGAGTAACAAATACCTAATGATTATTATGAAAATCAGTGGGAGAAAGTGAAGAAAGTGTGAAATGCTGTCCATACTCTAATGAAGAAGCCTGTTTGATTGGTTGCTCGGGGCTTTCGCAGTCTCACAAACGAATGCACTGGGTGAGGCATAGATAGTGAGGTGTCGTTTGGTCATAGCCATGTAATAAGTCAGTTATATTCGAAGTCGGAAGAGTTTCATGACCTTCTCTTGACTTCTACTTTTTGTTCTTGCCTAGCCTAATTCATCTGTGAAATGGCTGACTTCAATAAGACTTTTCTGCAACAGTCTGAGCTGCTAACAATCTGCCAATGACTCGGTTTGATTTCGCAGTTAATTCTTCGGAATGAAAAAGTGATCCGCCAATGTGGTGGCTCAACTTACCTGCAATGGAAGAACATAATGGTTGCCTAGTGAAGTCCTGCTCTCAATGGTTAGGACTATATGAAGTTCCTATCGTTGCCCTCCCGGATAGGTCCATCCCAGGAGTAAACGAACACTGGTCAATAGAAATTACGCCATTCTATTGTTGTAAAATAGAAGTAGACATGCGCGATATGAAGACCTTTCCTACAACACCAAACCCTATTCCTTAATTGCCACAAATTAAAACTTTGAATGCAAGGATGTTTGATTATCTGAACCAATAGTGAGTAGACTTAGAGAACTGGATAGACAGTGATGTTAGCATAGAAGCAGTAGATTGTTGAAATCCAATTGCTCACCTCATTGTGTTTGAGAAAGACCAGAAAATCTTTTCCGTCGCACACCATCCTCTGAATTTGATCCCTGAAAATAGAAAAATCCATTATCAAAGTGGTCATTGCCGGGCCCTAGGATCCAACGAGATTTTTTATTGGAATTTCAAATCTGTTCCCGATAAACAAACAGCTATTTCTAGCCTCCAAAACTGTATGACCTTTCCAGGCCTGAAAACTTTCATTTATAGGTTTATTGTTTCATGACCAGAACTTCCTCAGTGATGGAAGAGAAAATTTTGTATGTTGATCAGTAGTGCTCTATCCCTTGTCGCTATTCTGAACCTCAGTCCAAGTTTTGTTGTACGGCAGAGTCTAACAGGCTGATACAGTAGGTTAACTTTTGCAGCGGCATGGCGAGCGAGCCCCTATCTATGCTAGAGAGTTTAAATATTCTTTCATTGACTGCTAGTTTATGAAGTCGAACTACTCGTGGACTGCGGTACAGCTTACCCTAACTAGCGAGTGATCTTCACGAAAGGCATGACATCTGATAGGCTACTGGCTTGTAACAAGGCCGAGTTACTGTGGTAATGTGGTGAGTCACACGAGGCCCTTGACCTAACTTGAGCTCATGGGGAGCGCATATCGAATCGGTAGCATTAAGCTAGCTAGTTTAGGACCTCGCACCTATTAACCAGCCTTAGTCATGTGGTGATTCGCTTACGGACGCAGCGACATGGTTTAACCAAATGATTTTGCAAACCACACTCACCACCCATGAAATATCATACTGTTTACCACTGCTATCTATCGATCCTCTGGTAGTCAGCTGATAAAGACTGAGCAGCGAATGTTCTAAGACTTCGGTTGCTTGTACTTGCAAAATAGTCGCACGACCAATCACATCCACATACAGCTAATTAGCCCCAATAAGACTTAAAGACCCGAATAGCTGATATTTCCTATAAACGACCACATTTTCATAGATTCATGATTACTTTCTCATTTTCATTCTCCAACTGCTACTGGTTCCTTCTTCCCCTGGAATGCAAACGACGGACCCTGTGATGGATTTTACGAAATTTTTAGCAAGCGGTATCTCACTAGGGACAGATAAATTGTGATACCATTAGTATTCACACGAAAATAATTCTTCTATTCAAAACACAAGAGAGGCTATGGTGAAGAAAACCTGGGCTACTTATATTTTAAGAAGGCGCTAACCTAACACAATGAAGCGCTTGCAAAATAAAAGTCTACTGCTCATCCGCTTTGTAAAATGCACGGTACTGTGGGTACCGGAAATATATGACATATGTGGACATCCAGTTCATGGTGCTTTTATTGAGCAGAGTTTAAATTTACCATGCAAACTAGGCCTACATGGTTACAAGAGAAGCATTTTCATCATGCATTTCCACCGTCATAGCGCGGTACACCGCCCAAGCCTAACCAGTTTTTTGACTTCATAGGGTTTTGGCAGTGCGGCTCAGGTTCGTTTATTTGTAGTTGATTAGTTTGCCGAGCTTGATAATAAGCTTCCAACTGTCCGTCGACATTCGATGGGACAACATCAATGAGCGCTGAAGCTATCAGAATAAAGCCTGGTTAGAAGCAATTCAGAATAACACTCCTGGTGGAATGTGGATACAACCAAACAAACGAACTACGATTCAACACAAATCGCAAGGGGGTCAACCACAAGGAACGCGTGGGTAAAGAGGATGGTATCTAATAGAGAAATGAATGTAAAAAGAACTATTTCAAAAACCAGCGCACGTTGCGAGCACATCCAGTCGAATTCCACTTCAGATTTCTTCGGCACGACCAGTTAGGTTAGAAGTTGAAAATCCTTGGTGAAAGCCTGAAGGGAGCTAATCACTCAACCGCTTACAGAACATTTCTCTTCGAATTGTGAAAAAGCGTTTGCAAGTTGACTGTCCAGCTCAGCAACAGAAGAACGCCTACTTGATCAAGTAACAGTTGGTGGATTTTCGTTTCTTGTTATCTTGAAAAAAACTGGAACTAGTCATCGTGCGACGGTTAGCCTATCTCAGAAACCCAATGAGGACAGGAAGCCTTGCGTCCCCTACCACGTTGGTTCATCTACAGAAGTTTATTAATCACAGGCTCCTAGCCTTCAGGTTGACGGTTGGTATAAATGAGACCATTTATTCCTTGAAGTTTGGGCTTCCTGGTTGGTCTTACACTAACCAAAGCTGTTCTGCATCAGGCTGGTGAGCCGAGGACCTTGACTGAGCACCCAATCACCTTCCTGTCTGCATCTGGACGTTCAGATAGTATTTCGGCCAAACACAACCATGAGCTCCACAAATAAAGCACCCTCATGCCACATAAAGTGTCAGGTGAGGCAATCAGCCTGGTTGCCTTAGTTTTTGTATACGGAAGGATGGATAAGTGAAAACATGCTACCACCGAAGCCTCCTACCTTTGTTCATTGTTATCTTAAGGAACCCCTCTTAAGCCTGCTTGCAAATTATTCCAATATATACCCCAGCTGAAGGAACATCAGTCAGGCATCCAGAGACTTGACACATTCTAAGTAATCGTCCATATCTGCTGTTCCGTGTTTGATATTCAGGGGTTGTTTTTCTATTTTATCGTAACCTTTAAGGTATGAACTCTTGGAGAGATCGGGGAACGGAGTAATATTGAATGTGCTATCCAACTTTCCATCTCGATAGAAACTTGTGGTCATGGAAATATCTAATGCAATTTGTTTGTCCCGTTCATTTACGCACCAACTAAAAGCCACCTTCTATAGAGTAATGACAACCCTCTATCCACTAGAAGTAGCGTGCGTATGATCATAATGACAGGAAAGTTCGATGCACAGGTGGAGCGCTCCGATCCACAAAAAGCGCACGTTGATGGTATGCATAATCTGAAAGCAAAAGATTATGACAATTGTGAACTTATTTTGCAACTCCGTGCTGATTGCTAACTGTTTCTCAGCAGAAATAGGTATAAATACAGTGTAAGACGCTGTCTCCTAGTCTCCCTCTACCGCTTAGCAGCCATTGGACCAACTTGATCATGTCGCCACCAGCTACCGATCACGTGGTTCAGGCCTTAACCACCGATAGCTTTGGAATACACAGGCTGATTCGGGTCACGCTCAAGTTTGGCGTCGATTTTTATTTTATTTTCAACAAACCTCAGAAACGCGCTCCAAACTAAGCAGTGAAAAAGCTCTGTGAGTCACAAGTTAAGTTGCATTACTAACTGTTTCTTCAGAGGCCAGTGACCGTAACTAGGGTGAGATAACTACCGCTCTGCATGTGGTCGGTAAGAATGTTTGTAGTATTGTCGAGCTGGGATATTAGAGTGTCACCATCATTTCTTAATATGAAGTGTTCATTCAAGTTCAGAATACGATTCGGCTTGACGACCAATCGAATGATAGACGGAACATAGTCCGTATGTCGGCGAAGAGGGATGGCGGAACCTGAAGGTTCTAGAAATAGAAGGACCAATAAGGTTTGGAATTCCCATCCTCAAAACAGGATCAAAATGCCCCCTTAAGTTAGTTAACAAATAACACTTGAAACCTAATATAATAAGACCTAGCCTCAAGATCTCTGGATAGAATATTTTGACAACAGTGAAGTTTGCTCTATGTCCATAAGTGTGACACATGGAGTCAATGCGCAACTGATCAATTCCAGAACAGCGTCTGCTTAATTGTGTTTCATAGGGTCACAAACGAGTTTCGCTGGACTCATATGCCACTTGTTGAAAACAGCTATAAAAACTCTCTTACTTTTGTGTTTGCGAGGCTCGGTTTCTCCGGTCTGGAGGTCCTAAACATCTGCAGATGTTTAACCACCTATCTGTTTTGCTAGAGTTAGCTGACTTCAAGAGGTGCGCGACGAAGTTGTGCATAAGCAGGTGCTTGGAAATGAATCAGAATCGTTAGAAAATAGAACTAAAGTTATCAGGCTAGGGTGGTTGAGACATATTCTGCGTATGTTCTTAATAGGAAGGTATTTCGTTTTCTGCTCCGAGCTATGGTTGGCGAAAGTTCGCGGGGACAAGCCGAGATGGGACAACGTGAAATAAAAGTGATTACCGCCAAACTGAATGCCTTCAGATCTTTCAACCCTAATGGTTGAGGCTCGTATGGTTCCACTGATGGCGCCCTGATTTTATTGTTGTTCAAAATCTCCAGGAATCTCATTCTTGGTCGTTTTCCGTAAGGACGTATCACTGCTCTAATGTGGCAACTTAATTCTAGGTTTTACCTCCACTCTGTGCTAAGGCTTTATTCCCTCCTGGTCGTAGTGTTGGTGTATTCCTGTCAGCGATGAGGATGACGATCGGTTCTGGTTTGGCCAAGTTTGTACCGGAGGAAGATTACAATCTGCTTTCCCGTGTGTCAGTACTTTGATTGTCTCCCACCTAGATAATAATTCCGCTCGCTCGCGTCACTCTAATTTGTGCGACGGCGAGTATTATTGGCACCGGTCACATAAAACATGCCACGCGTCGCAACCATGCAGAAAACAAAGTTGATTATCAGAGTCATAGTTACTATGATACCGGAATTCTTCATTTGATGATTGGTGTGNTTCAACAAACCTCAGAAACGCGCTCCAAACTAAGCAGTGAAAAAGCTCTGTGAGTCACAAGTTAAGTTGCATTACTAACTGTTTCTTCAGAGGCCAGTGACCGTAACTAGGGTGAGATAACTACCGCTCTGCATGTGGTCGGTAAGAATGTTTGTAGTATTGTCGAGCTGGGATATTAGAGTGTCACCATCATTTCTTAATATGAAGTGTTCATTCAAGTTCAGAATACGATTCGGCTTGACGACCAATCGAATGATAGACGGAACATAGTCCGTATGTCGGCGAAGAGGGATGGCGGAACCTGAAGGTTCTAGAAATAGAAGGACCAATAAGGTTTGGAATTCCCATCCTCAAAACAGGATCAAAATGCCCCCTTAAGTTAGTTAACAAATAACACTTGAAACCTAATATAATAAGACCTAGCCTCAAGATCTCTGGATAGAATATTTTGACAACAGTGAAGTTTGCTCTATGTCCATAAGTGTGACACATGGAGTCAATGCGCAACTGATCAATTCCAGAACAGCGTCTGCTTAATTGTGTTTCATAGGGTCACAAACGAGTTTCGCTGGACTCATATGCCACTTGTTGAAAACAGCTATAAAAACTCTCTTACTTTTGTGTTTGCGAGGCTCGGTTTCTCCGGTCTGGAGGTCCTAAACATCTGCAGATGTTTAACCACCTATCTGTTTTGCTAGAGTTAGCTGACTTCAAGAGGTGCGCGACGAAGTTGTGCATAAGCAGGTGCTTGGAAATGAATCAGAATCGTTAGAAAATAGAACTAAAGTTATCAGGCTAGGGTGGTTGAGACATATTCTGCGTATGTTCTTAATAGGAAGGTATTTCGTTTTCTGCTCCGAGCTATGGTTGGCGAAAGTTCGCGGGGACAAGCCGAGATGGGACAACGTGAAATAAAAGTGATTACCGCCAAACTGAATGCCTTCAGATCTTTCAACCCTAATGGTTGAGGCTCGTATGGTTCCACTGATGGCGCCCTGATTTTATTGTTGTTCAAAATCTCCAGGAATCTCATTCTTGGTCGTTTTCCGTAAGGACGTATCACTGCTCTAATGTGGCAACTTAATTCTAGGTTTTACCTCCACTCTGTGCTAAGGCTTTATTCCCTCCTGGTCGTAGTGTTGGTGTATTCCTGTCAGCGATGAGGATGACGATCGGTTCTGGTTTGGCCAAGTTTGTACCGGAGGAAGATTACAATCTGCTTTCCCGTGTGTCAGTACTTTGATTGTCTCCCACCTAGATAATAATTCCGCTCNGTTTCACAAAGCGATGGCTGAAAAACCTACATAGTGAGTGCTGAGAATTCATTTGACGTTTAGCTTCACCCCTGTGGGCCGATAGTGGCTCAAGATAATTCGGTATGTTCCCTGGACATTTTGCGCTAAAGACAGTTACTAAAGGTCCCGAAACAATCAGCAGTCAGCAGTAGTCAGCTGTTCACTACCTAGAAGAAGCCAAATAACCATGAAAAACCCCTCTCAAAAAATGCCTGTGCTCAAAAACTGAAGTTTCAGGCGAATTCTGAAATAACTTCAGTGTCGCTAAGTGACTGCGGACATGGAGAAAAACCCACATTCACTGTTTTAAGAGTAAAAAAGATTCTAAAGATACTGCACTGTGCCTTCTTCTGCGTTCTCAAATCTGAGCAGACCTCATCGAAGTTTACACTTAATAAATTAAGCGATAGGCATCCTGTAGGTCAACTCTTCCTACAGACACCACGCAGGTGTAGAGAAAAACTCTTGAATAGCAAAATGGTCTGACATTTTCAACAACCTTCGAGAAAGTTAAGTTCAACAGTACTCATTAATAATTAACTTATACAAATAGAGCTGCGTTTAAGATGAAACCTTCGGTAATGTTTATCAGCCATATTTGGAGATAAACAGTAAGGAGACATGTGGCAAAAGTCTGGTTGCAGAAACAGAAGCACTTTCAACGACATATAACACAATACTCAGCAGAAAATGACTAAGGGCTGTGACAACATGGTCAAAAGCCAGTCTGAATTCGGTTCAGGTTCTGAAAGCAGCAACGATTTCAGACAAAATTCACTACAAAGAATGCTTTGTGATGGGAAGAAACTTGAAACAAAAATTCGAAATTCCTGGCTGTTTTTTATTAGAAGATGAGCACAAATCGTCCATGAATATCGCTACCTTCAGAAAAGTGCTGATCAGATGGTAGTCCTACTTAGCAGCCAGTGAACCCTAAAGGAGATAGTGTTTCTATTGTGAGAGAATCCGTTGAGAGGATACCAGCAACTGTGTACTCCACAAAACCGTTATGTACCGCAGATAACAGCTTAATCTCAAGGGTAAACATATAAAACTGACAGACTGTCATAATATCTGAGGCCCGACTGAGGTTACTCCAGAAGGTCACGCTCAAGTGTCTCAAGGTGCCAAATACTTCAGAAATTTCACTTTCAGTGGGAGGATAGACACTGCAAAGCGTGTCCTGATATCGCCCGCTTTATTGAGTGGGAATAGTTCAACTCGGTATACCAAGACACCCAGGGACAAAATAGCGCTCTTGAGATCGTTTTAAGCGATTCAGTCTAGTTTACGAGTTCAAGTATACTTTTGGAACAACAGGTACAGTGGATGTCACGGACACAGCAGATCACATTTTTATCAACTTGCTAATGCTACCAGAAAACAAAGAGAAGAGGTAAAGTGGTCTTTGATAAAAGCCTGTGACCTTCGGCATTGAGTACTTTATGCCACCAGGGTCAGAATGATAGCCACGGTTACCTAAATGGTTCAGAGTCAGCTGGGGACAGGCCCCACTGATTTTCACAAACTGCAAACAGCTGTGGTTATACTCCTTGGTCGACACTAGCAGACAAACCAGTTTTGCTTACAGCAACAGTACAGTCTTTTCGTTCTTGTCGAGTGAAAAAGCGGTAAAATGTAGAAGCATCCAGTGCACAAATCAAATGGGACAAACCACCTAACGTGAGTCTTTGGCAAACAGTAGTTTTTGTTCCACCTTAGAAAAAGTCCACACATCAGTTTAGCAGCACAGATGGGAGGGATAGTGGGAAAAGGTTTAAGTTCCCCTCCTTTCCACAAGGCATTGCTCTTATACCCTGCAGGCGGTAGGCTAACCATTCTTATACAATCTGGACACAATTAAACGAAAGTAACCACTCTCAGCGGTCTTATCCCCTGCTTGTATGGTCCTTCTGGACTGTCATCTACGAAAGCGCGAGTTCTGTAACACTTCGCATTTGGCAGACAAGTCTATCTTGCCACTGTATAAGATTAAGCTTACTAGGATCATAACGCAAAGCAACAAATAATAGACAATAGAAAACTTACGACAACAGGAAACGGGTCAATACCGTATGTTGGAAGTTGTGAAGTTCGTGAAAGAAGTTCCGATTCCGCTTCCTGAACAGTGAGACCTCTATGGCAAAAAAAGAAGAGGACAGGGGCTGTGAGTAGCTAATCACTAAAAATGCACTACACTTCTCTGTACTAATCTATTTAGATGACTGTTAGCCTGTTTGATGAGCTGAACGATTCGTTACATATTTACCTCTACACTAAAGGAGATGACATCACCACAGTGTTGCTATTTCCTGTCATCGCTTCCTTAAGTGATAAAACAAGATCGCGAACCACTGCAAGTTAAACTGTGGATTAGTTTCCATTATTCCGAAACCTATCCTAACGATTGCTTAAAGGACCCAATTACATTAGGTGTCCATTTCAAGAGTGAAGCGAAATGGGCTCTTAAGCAATAAAATCCCTGGTTTTATCGTTAATCCGCATGTAGGCAGTTAGCATAAAAATAGGCTAGAACACCGCAGATAAGTGGAGAGATTTCAACTAAGGAGAATGTTTCACTCGGCTGGTGCCCTCCATTCATTCTGTGAAATTGCGCATTTTTGAAAGTAATCAGATTTAACACTGAATAGGCTAGATGTTTAGTCGGAGTGCTTTTCGGTTGCAAGCTGCCTGATCGTTGGTCGTAAAACGATGCTTCTTCAGGGATGCGAAGGTGACAGTTGCAGAAATAAATGTAGTTTGAGCGACAACATCAACTGGCGCATCCTTAAGAAGGTGGTAGAAAAGTAATATCGAATCAGATATTTTCCTCGTACAGTGATTATCAGGATCATAGCGCACGGACGATCATGGCAGACTAGGTATCCGTAAAAAAGGGAGAATTGCTTGCTTGTATAAAATCAGTCTTGAAAGTAGTTACTTCGAGTAAATATATGTGATTTCTGGCTGGTCAGAACAAGGGTGTGGCCCGAACAGACAAGACAAGACACATCAACTTAGAGTTTTAGTCAGTAAATAAAGGTTCCTGGACTCCAGTAAACGGCTACCTCTCACACAACAGGGTGCGCCGTAGGAACAGCTGAATTAATCAATTACCACCAATGATATCCGAAACATAAGCTGCAGACCAGCGCTAATTTGGTGAACCCTCAAAAGTACTGTGTCACTGACTCCTCCTCAGAAAATAAACTATTTTCTTCTTTCGACCTACGGAACTCTCACTGTTGTGTATTTCGGTTTCACTTCCTTCGTGTGATCTTTCCCAAAAGGTAAACACGTCCACCGATAGATGTATCGATCGTTTAATCATGATGTTTTGGGATGACTGTAGTTGAATTGATGGGAAAAGGCACTAAAATCACTTATTCACCTAAGATGCGTGTCTACCGCGATATTATGATGGACATTATCTGCCAGCCAGGAGAATTTTTCTCTTCGCATGGCGTACACTGAGCCTGAGTCACGTTCTTTACCTATATAGTCTGAATGGGCATTGCGTGACACCAAAGGTGCAAAACTTTTATAGATATCACCTATTATTCTAGTTGCATGCAAGTGAGTATCCCCCACTAAACACATTCGACGAACCACGGAGCGAGACCATCTTGCACGAATCAGGTTATCTACATAAACATAAGAAAACACGACCGAACCAACCGTAGTTTTTGGTGTTGCTTCACTATTTCCATGATGGTCTTCGGTGTTTGCGTGTTGAATATTTTGAAATTCCTCAAATATTCGATGGCAGTAGTGGGCTCCGGTGTACCGCTTTGTGGGTGATTTCCTGACCCATTGACATTATTGTAAGTATCATTCTCCGAGTTCATGTTTGTTTGGGATCCCTGTGTATTTGACGCTTTGGATAATTCCAACTCATCCTCAGCCGGGGCGTCTCCCAGTTCAGCTAAAAACAAGGCACACGTATGAAGGGATGAGAAACCGATGTTTTTAATGTTTGGAGAATACATTTCAAAAATAAAATGCGCTCAGATGGTCTTAACTCATAGGTACTGTAAATCTGGTATCCAATAAAAAGAAGCACATGAAATACGTTGGTTCCAGTGTAATGTTGTCTGAAAATAGAAGAGGTCTTAGAATTGAGAGTATGTTTAGCTCAGCAAGGTGAAAAAATGTTCTGCCTACCCGCAAATCTCTGTAAATCGTCAGGGTGACCATCAAATACCCGTGCAAGAGAATAAATGCTGAGGAACCAGTTACCCATTAATCCCACAAAGCTGAGCTGCGAAAGAAAACTGTTAGGTAGACGGATGGCTGCATAACCAAGGGTCCGGTAGATGTTCTGTTCCAGGTGGAAGTACTCTCGGCTGAGTAATTGTGAGCATCTTTGGGGAATTTTTTAGACTATATCCTGGTGTCTTGATGGGAGTAGCGTTAATAATTTTGGCTGCAGCTGCAGATGTTTGTGATTTCCAAGTGCTGCAATCAGTAACATCTTATAGCTATATTAGAACACTCATAAATAGTCTGTCCTGCGAATGAAAAGTTGTTGGTCACAGTCTGTAGTGTCTGATAGGTAATAATAAAGCGGAGTTCCAGAAGGCTTCAATAGGATTGCAGAAAACGTACTGTATGAAAATGCATTCTGTGGATAGATTATATCAGGTAGATTTCAGATTCCCTGAATAGCAAAGGCTTCAAACAAGCTAACGCTTTGTCAAGTCTTGAGAGGGTCCTACCCCTACAAGATTACCGTTATTATAACATAAACTGTCGTTCAATTCTCCTTCAGGCCACTCCTATCAGAATTTAGAACAACAATGTGAAGGATTTGCATGTGTTATTTCGCTATGAATTGCGTATGAGGGATAACTCGTTCCTGGTGGACAGAATTATTAGACATGTTCACTCATTACTTTAGAAGCAACTGTTACTCAGTTGACTTTAAACCCCATGCGGGCCATATGTTAATTCTAGTTGCCTCAGTTCACTTCATCGATTATGCTGGAAATGTGCGTGAAGCTACACATTTGGGGTGATTGTTAGATAGTGATGAAGGTTTTATTAGGAGTTTGGGTGTGTGCACTAAGACCGTAAATCTGGATACACGAGTGCCTCTGGCCACTTAATTGGGCTGTTTGTCACGGTCTCTAACAAGTATTTCATCGGGTCTTCATTGGTTAGGTTGTAGTTATCAACCCGACTGGGATTTTTACGGGTGATATCCGTGCCTCTTTATGAGGTCATTGCAGTAATGGCAATCCCATCTGCAATGCGGTTGAACGAAAAATGATCTTAAGGAAGAAATTTGCTCTACCGGATGCGAATATAACCTACGACGTACAAACAGCTTGTTTTTTGCCTAGTTTTATCACTTTCTAAACCGTTTGCCAAGACCCAGCACTTTATAAGTCTTCCCGTTAGGTCTGGTGTTGTTTCTTGGATATAACTAAATGTGCGTTGACGTCAGATGGTTAGATTTCTGAGTGATATGAAATAGCAAGCGCACTAGAAAGATAGAAACCTTGGGTCTGACAGCAGGTTGGTGCCGTATCACCGCCATAGGTACCATAGGCTGGCTAAATCCATCTACGCTCTTTCTACGCTCTTTCTTTCAACCAAGCTGCGCAAGATGAAGATATTGTAAAGGAGGAAGGCTGTCAGAAACATCTATTGAGTGTTTGGATTCGGTTCAGCTTGGACTACAGTTCGTGACTGTGAACATGTCAAGTCGTATGGTTGAATTATTAAAATTTATCCGCATTAATATAGTTATTTTGTCAACCTACCTTCTGAGAGCAGATGCTTTGAAAGTATTTAGATTCGAAGGCCAAAAGTCCAGCTGCCTTAGTGCTTCGACATCGAAATCAGAGGGATATAAGGGAAGAAAAGAGCGCTGCCTGATACCACTGGGCGTAGTGAATACAGGGGGTATCGATTCCCCTATTCAGTTGTGCACGTAGCGGGTTCTCGGATGCTAAATACTTCGATTCGCAACTTATTCAGGCCGTCAGTATTTTATTTTTTATCATAGACCACGTGTTATCCGAATAATTATTCATGGGCTCTTCAAAGTGACAAATATCTCCCTTAGCACTGCGAGTAGGATCTAAATATCTGATACCGTCTAGTGAAATACCTGATTAGATTATCCCCAACATTCAACATTTTTAAAGATAATACGATAGTTAAGAACCATAAAGCATCACGTTTCACAACATAATTTCGATTGTCTCTGATGGTCAAAGGCCAACTTGCGAGATCTTTTCTCTCAATAGGCTCATCACTCAAATGTTTGATTGCTTAAATTGGTTGCTAGTTTAAATTCCCTACTCGAATATCTCTGTAAGTACAGTGGCACATAAGCATAGAAGCCATCTTCGAGAGCCAAAATAGTGGAGTAAAGCGAGGATCGCAGCTGAGTGCCAATAAGTGGAAAGGAGGGACACAGGTACCTACTTAAGGAAGAAATTTGCTCTACCGGATGCCAATATAACCTACGACGTACAAACAGCTCGTTTTTTTTGCCTAGTTTTATCACTTTCTAAACCGTTTGCCAAGACCCAGCACTTTATAAGTCTTCCCGTTAGGTCTGGTGTTGTTTCTTGGATATAACTAAATGTGCGTTGACGTCAGATGGTTAGATTTCTGAGTGATATGAAATAGCAAGCGCACTAGAAAGATAGAAACCTTGGGTCTGACAGCAGGTTGGTGCCGTATCACCGCCATAGGTACCATAGGCTGGCTAAATCCATCTACGCTCTTTCTACGCTCTTTCTTTCAACCAAGCTGCGCAAGATGAAGATATTGTAAAGGAGGAAGGCTGTCAGAAACATCTATTGAGTGTTTGGATTCGGTTCAGCTTGGACTACAGTTCGTGACTGTGAACATGTCAAGTCGTATGGTTGAATTATTAAAATTTATCCGCATTAATATAGTTATTTTGTCAACCTACCTTCTGAGAGCAGATGCTTTGAAAGTATTTAGATTCGAAGGCCAAAAGTCCAGCTGCCTTAGTGCTTCGACATCGAAATCAGAGGGATATAAGGGAAGAAAAGAGCGCTGCCTGATACCACTGGGCGTAGTGAATACAGGGGGTATCGATTCCCCTATTCAGTTGTGCACGTAGCGGGTTCTCGGATGCTAAATACTTCGATTCGCAACTTATTCAGGCCGTCAGTATTTTATTTTTTATCATAGACCACGTGTTATCCGAATAATTATTCATGGGCTCTTCAAAGTGACAAATATCTCCCTTAGCACTGCGAGTAGGATCTAAATATCTGATACCGTCTAGTGAAATACCTGATTAGATTATCCCCAACATTCAACATTTTTAAAGATAATACGATAGTTAAGAACCATAAAGCATCACGTTTCACAACATAATTTCGATTGTCTCTGATGGTCAAAGGCCAACTTGCGAGATCTTTTCTCTCAATAGGCTCATCACTCAAATGTTTGATTGCTTAAATTGGTTGCTAGTTTAAATTCCCTACTCGAATATCTCTGTAAGTACAGTGGCACATAAGCATAGAAGCCATCTTCGAGAGCCAAAATAGTGGAGTAAAGCGAGGATCGCAGCTGAGTGCCAATAAGTGAAAAGGAGGGACACAGGTACCTAAGGTGTCTTGTCTAACAAGGAAGAAGTGAAAGACAGCAGAACACAAAAGACGGAACTACCAGGAACAATCGATTTGAAGACGAGTGTGGATGAACGCATGACGTTATGTTTACGTACATTGGTAAAGCGAATTTCATTGAGCGACTAGGCATGACAGTGTGTGCAAGAGCTTCTAGAGTTACCAGATTTGCGGCGCTAATAACAAAAATCAATGAAAGTGGCGTGATTGCCTTCATTCAGTCAATTTACGATCCAAAAAATCATTCAATATGCGCATATTACCATCAGCCAAGTCAGAAGGTTCTCAGCGGTATAACCCGGAAAACTCTGCATAAGTTTGCATCCTTGGATAGCCAGGGGGTTGGTCGAGAAAGTGGAATGTTTAGGACAGCTGGTTTACCGAAGCTTGCTCCAGCGATCACGTGATAAACAAATTTATAGGGAACACCTTTGCATCAGACTGAATTTTAGCTGAGCTTGTTCAACATGTTTGGACGACCAAAAATAACCAGATGAACGTATGAAGAGTACCGTTGTCGTAGAGCAATCCTAAGCATTTTGTCTTTTGAGCAAATTCCTGAACTTTTCACTGAAATAAACATGGAGATGATTATGATATAAAAAGGGTCCAAAAGTTTGACCATTTATGTTATGGTGAAAAAAGAACATGCCGGATGGTTTGTTGGTAACAAAATCACTGGAATAGTGTGGCCTGAAAACGTCTAAAACAGGAAGATGTGGTCATTCAAAGCGGACGTATAATTTCGATAAATAACCAAGACATCGATGCCAGTCAAACGAACGGTTTTGCTACGCAACATGTAAGTGTGAAGATATCTCTCCAGGAACCTTCTGTAGAAAACAGATCTTGCTAGTGACAAGATAGCCAGTGACACATTAGGAATTTTGAGAACTCTAGAACATCTCAGGTAGTTCGCCCGTTGCTTCAAAGTGCCAAAAGCAGTGGTAAGTTTAATCTCCACTTTTTCGGGAAGCTTCATTATACTACTCAGGTATTTCCGTGGGTTGTAAAGGCTCCACTGCGGTTCGCCTTTTTAGGTAGACGTTGTGTAACATTTGACTGTCACGCGATCTGTTGTAGATGGATTCATGTGTGGATGGATCTGAAAGCTCAAGCAACGTACAAGTAGAAATTTAGTTTCATGAACAGGGCGAACCCGTAAACTGAATTTTGTTCCCTACCCTCATGAAGAGATTCACGTGTGCAACAATCAGTGGCTGATAAGCATAAAAGAGTCGACTTAAGAAAGGGAATAGTAAAGTAATCCTAACGTAGCGCGCGCGTTGGAAGAAATGCATCACGACGCGTTGTAGATTTCATGTTGTGTTTTGTATGTGTTTCTTAACGCAAAATAGCATTATTCGCAATTTTCCCGGCAAACTTACGTAACCACAGAATACCAATAAAAATGGCAAGGCAAAGGTATTTTCCGTGGTGGTTATGCGAAAACGATTGCAGAGGATCACAAGAATGGGCGCAGCAAATTATAGTCTCCTGTTATCACAAAAATGCTAAACAAAATAAAACAGTCATATGTTGGACGGGCTCAGTAGATAGTCAAACAGCTACGATGAACTGATCAGGTGGTTTAGTTAACTGTTTACTTCGTACCGTCACTGATGAGACAAGCGGCCAACAATTTTGAGGCAGAGAACAATTCCAACGTGCGCAGACAGTATAGCTACAACTCGACTGTATTATTCACGGTCCAGGTCTACTATCTAACAATAACAGTTGAATGAACGGAAAAAGCAGGTTATCATGATGTTTCTGCAGCATTCTAGATCACTTACGGATGTACGCAACAATTGGCCAGTAAAGTTAGTACGTGCTAAGGCAATTTTTCAAACAATAAGCGAATTTGTTGTTGCGTTTCTTTGCTTAATTCAAATCAGAAGCACCCGTACGACCGTGAAGAAAACTATTAGGACTCACTGCTCGGTTTCAGCTTTTTCAAAGTGTTCCCAAATGTATTTATCCAGAATGCATGGTCATACGGCGCACACTACGTGGCCAAAATATTCTATGCTCTTCAAAGAATGGCCGCTCTGATCAACAGTACAGTAGTTAACGTAATGGGCGACGAAATAACTGGAAATGAAGGAGTTGTACTTCGAATTTTGTAAAACTGAGTGCCAATGTCCAATGTAGTGGTTAGTGAACCTGATAGAATGTCAACACGTTAGAAACACATGCTGAATTGTCCACCACCTCCGTTCATCGAGTTTTTCATCTTGCTTAGGTTTTGTTAAGGTGACCTTGATGTCCCATTATGTCAGAATAAAACAATGGCAACCAGTAAAACCGCTACACTGCTTGAAATCTATGCCACAAGTCTTAAGTATTGACAAACTGTTTGTTAGATTAGATTGGATTAATCTGGATAAATGTCTAGGATTTGCACCTAGAAGAGAAGCCAGAGGGTGCTAAAACAATTTTTGCCGGACGTTATGATGGGAAGGAACTTGCCTAGCAAACTAGAAAGATATCTGCACAGTATACACTAGGTGTACAAAATCTACTGTCACACTGACTGATGCAGATCTGTTACAATCTTACATTGCTGCAAAGGATTTTCGGTGAGTGCTCCGCAGCGAGCAGGAAACAAAGAACTAACGTTAAAAAACAATAGAGAAAATGATTATGAACATAATACTTTAATGCAGAATACACAAAATGATTTCTAGTACCGATACAAAAAAACTAGCTTTCCAGTTAGATGTGTCCTCTGTTTGAGAAAGACCAACTAAAATGTCAGTTTGGCACTCAGCTCAATCCGTTGGTTTAGATGAACAAGCATTTCACTCACCTTGTGCCACTAAAGCGCCGATTTGAGCCACCATCTCCGGAGGGCATAATAGACGACCCTGGGCAAGATCACGACGTATTTGCAGATAGATTAGGTATCTGGAAATAAGTAATAAATTTCATCAATGTTACCACACTCTCTTGGGAACCAGCGGGATTTTCATAAATGTCCATTACACTGGGAGTGGTACTGAGTTTTCGCGTGGTTATTCATATTTAATTTAGCAAGATACTACACTTGTAATCAACCGTACGCAGCTAAAATTTAAAACATAACGTGTTTATCGCCTGAATCAAAGTTGAATGACACTGGCATAAGTAGGGAAAGTTTGAGAAAAAGGTACATTCATTGTGTGGGATAGTTCTGCCCAATAGTCTACGTTCACCGAAAAATTCCATGATCATCGAATCCTTAGTGATTCAGTCAGCTTACTTTTCTGGTCCAACTCAGGAAAGAACACAAAAGGACAGTCTGTTGGGGAATGTTGTTTCTTTAAAGCGATTTTTCCAAAGGCCTACAAATTTTCCGCTCTATATCACTTACCGATGAGTGACAATCTTTTTTGTCACGTTATTTACAGAGTGCGATCTAGCTTGTCCCGGCTACTGACAAAAACATTAACTCGTATTTATTTGTCCAAACAGGTTGATAAAATTGTGGGCTAATTTTGTTTTTATTCAAGAAGTTTGGGCAGAAGAGCCATGAGAAACTGGTAACTAGACCGGTTTGACACATTGTCTAAAAATTATATATGGCAGAAATCATCCAAAAGAGCATCCATTTTACTTGAATTTTCCACAGTTCCACCCACTGCTTTCGTTGTATGCTTATAGATGCTTCTATAACACCAGTAATGCTTTTGTACTGAAACTGTCGCCCCATTGAGCATCAGTGCCATCTACCGCCAGGTCGAACGACATGGATGTTTTCAGAATTTTCACTCTACTGAGTAGCACAAATCATCAACTCCACACTATATTGACCAATCCATAGGATAGCTTTGCCAACTACATTGCCAGTTGACCGATATGTTTATCCTTTTAACTCCAAATATTCAGCAGCAATAGACACATTGAGCCCATGGTACACTTAGCAGGTTGGTGATTTTCAATGGTTTTCCATTTTGTCTTTCGTTGTACTATAGTATCCTTTCTCAGATCAGCCGCCTTGGCCAGGCCCGACAACTTGTCTTGGATATTAAGACTTCAGCAACCAATACGTAAATATTTGTTTGGCACACTGTTTGTATGAAACAGTTCACAAGTAATTTTAGTAAGTGTACTGCGATATGTAGATAGGGAAGATATTCCTGTGTGAAGCAAAGACTCATGTGTAAGCTTCTCATAGTTTACTGCAAGAAATTTGCTCAGCATAATGTCCTAAAATGCTTTTATGCGAAACTTCCATTTGCTTTGGAATCACTGCTTTGAGTGGGCTGTCGACTTTTGGTACTAGGCAGTAGCTTGAGTACAAAATATGGGCCATTCGTGAAACCTATTTGGAACAGCCGAAAATACATGTCAATCATAAGTGGCATCAGCGAAACGCATCCTTTTACTTACGACAAAATAGCACTTACTGCCACCCTGCTTTTGATCTACCGAATAAAATCTTCTGGAGAAAGACATTTGGCTCACATTTGTGCCGTCTGTTGAAATCCATAACAAAGTTTATCAACCTGTAAACTGTTGGGTTGCTCCTGCCAACAGGCACTAACATCAGGCAGGCAGATACATTATTATGGCCAAACGTGCACCGTAAAGTTATACAGATCAAACAAGTCCGTCAAAGGTTCAGATAAAAAATGACAGTTCGTGCTTGAGCCAGGCAGTTAAGGTAGAAAGGGCGTTTGTCGGCTAGAACAGTGTGTTGAAGTTAATGAAATGCATAAAAGCACATGTTGTAAACGACAGGCAGACTGATAACTTCTGTATCCCATCTATTCCTATTCAAGCTGAAGAAGTCGTCATTTCTTTACTTACTGAACTGTTTGCCGGCAGTGAGTTGCTTGTTTGACAGGCCTAGTAGTTTGGTGTTCATTTGCAGAATTATGTCTCCGTTTATTCCTCCTCAGTTGGTGGAAGCCGGTTGTACATCCTCCTCCTTCCACAGACAGCATGAGTTAGATGAAACGGTGAGACGTTTTTCGTTTTCCATGCCATAATTTATCAAAGTAAAACAGGTCCACCCTTGAAACTCCTGCCAGCTGCCTAGAAACTCGGAAGTCCTTTTGAAGAGAATTTGTGATACCAACTTACAATACAAGTACGCTGCTCGAAATTCAGTCAGTTGTGTGATAAACCTCAACCTTTCAACAGAGCAGTTGGTTTCTACGATGCTTCAAAAAGTTATTTGTCAGGCTAGTTAGCTCTCGGAGAGTACATTCTTAGAATTTGCGGAAAAATTAGTTGATATTGAGAGACCGATGTAATTTGCTCCTACATCATCCACAATAGACTCCCTTTCACAGAGGGCTACAGTCTTCTTATTCTGCATTCTTCATTCCATCACCTTGAGGTGTTTTATCATTTAGTGGCTAGAACATTCACCCGCGACAGAAGGCCCTAAGCCAAACTACATAGTTCACTTAGTCGTCATGTAAACAACAACGGTAAGTTTCTACCCTAAGTATGCTTGTTTAGTCCTATGAGAACAGCTGACTATTAAAGACCAGCCTCTGATGCATAGATTTTTTCAATGGAGAGACTTTGTTCTCCAGATTGGATATGAAACTGGCAAGCCTTTGCCCACGAAAATTCGTTCTGAAGCGGTAGACAAAGTTGTTTTCATCAATTCTGTACAGATTGTTTTCACATCCAAACATTTTTAGCGGACCCAACTGCATGAAAATGTTCACACATCGTAAGCCTCCTCTGTGATATATTAGTTCTGCTCCGAATTTCCCGTTGCAATCAGTAAGTTGCTTATTTTTATAAACCGACATATTGAAATTTTGAGGCGTAGTGGTTTTACATTATCCCAGTTTCTTTCGCACACATTTACTTTTTAGACGTGCATCTTAATTCCCTTCTGTGTATTATCTGGATACCTCGCCTCGCCATAACGCGAATCTCCTGGGTTTGATTTTCTCGCCCACACTATGCAAAAATACAATAACAAAAGTATCCAACGCACGGGAGCCGCTGTTTGATACTCTTATTTTATTTAGCCCAATAATATCCAACAAGGGCTCGTCAGGCAGGTACTTTTCTGGTTCACAACATAAGACACCAAGGAAAGCCGCTCGAAAACAGAACAAATGAAAATTTATAAATACATACTAGACCACAATCTCTGATTTATGTTAAAGAAATTTGAATCACTCAACCAGTCTTACTTCATCAGCTGAAATCAACTAACCTATTATAGCCACTAGTGCAAAATAAAATAACGAGCTGAAATACCAAAACTTTTTCCACTCATAGTTATTCGCCAAGCGAACCTTTCGAAGGTTCTAAGGTTGTTGGTATAGTTACTCATCACAGCCCACTTGGGGCTCTAGTCAACGAATACTGTTTTCTCAGAATAATTGGGGAAGAAATAAAATTCATAATTTGTCCTTGGACCAAAAGTCTTTTAGTCTAGGTAACAATCATCGTTTTGACATGCTGCAAAATTCTTTAGGTAGGCTTTTTAGTCTGTGACACTATCCGAGGATTTATCAACAGTTGAGCGGCAAAAAGAAAGCATCGTCATCATAGTCAACTGTGAAAACCTCGTACTTGTCGTGCAGTGGTGGTAGCTGCCACAGTTTCGTTCACCGATTATTTAGGGAGTCGGGAAGAAAGCAATGCATTAAAGGCGATAACTTGGATGCAAGAGCGCCATTGAGGGCGCCATCGGCCCATGTTTGATAATGTCTTCAACCATTGATGTAGCTCGTCTCAGGGTCTCCATCCAGGAAGACGGTAATGATCAGCGCAGCGGAGTGTGCTGGTAATGACTTTCATACTTCGCTGCCAAGTCATTGTTCGACCACCTCTGACTGGTTCCCACCCTTCACGTGGTTCTGTGAAAAGAATCCCTTGAAGAGAGTCGGCCGACTGACATACGCAGCACGTAGCCAATCCAGCACAACTGATGCACTGTGATCAGTTCGCCTATTGAGGGTGAGCTATTTCTCCCGAATTCCATTCGACATACTTTGGCACTGCTGATCCGGTGTTCCCGCCAGACTAGATCAATTCTCTGGAGACATCGATGGTCGAATACTGAAAGTCTTTTGACGTCCTCAGTGCGCAACGATCAGGTTTCTCATCCGTATAGTAGTATGGAGCTCACTGCAGCACTGTGGACTCGACCTGAACCTGCCAACTTAACGGGGTGAGTGGCCTTGAGTGCTGCGATTGTTCCACGGGCTATACTGTCTGGAATGTCGTTCCACAAGGTGCAACGATGCTAAGAAGTTCAAGAGACAGCAATCAGACCAAGAGCAGTGAGACCCCGTACTACCAGTAATCGTTCTTGGAGGCGGACTAGGGATAAAGTCATGCTGTCCTCTGCGACGGGAGTGGGGAGGAAGTAAGGTGTCTGCCCAAGGCAACCAGCATGTCCATATTTATGGAAGCAGTGAGGCTGCTTTCCACCAAGGAAGAAGGGGTTAGAAAACGTCGACCCTGAAAACCACACACTCTGATCCCCCAATGGTTGCCCATGACCGCCGGTGCATCATTTAACACGGTGCTGCTTAAAAGGCATCTGCTGTGAGGAGCTGAATCGGGAATGAAACAATAATGTCTTATTTCCTGCACCCTCGGGTTAGGCCAATCCGCTGCAGCCGAGCAGCTCAGACTATTGAGTCATCGGCTCCGGGAAGGCTCCTCAAGGAAAACCCCATTGCCCGCTGCCTCGTGAGAAAGACAAAAAGAAATGGATGCAGCGATTGAAATCATTGAAATCTGCCTTTCCAATATGATTGCTATGTCGCACATCCAAGCGACTCCTGAAGATCAGCGCGAATAATGTATGGAGTGACTGACCAGCACCAAAATCGTGTGGTTCCATCCCCTCTAATCTACAGATCATTAAACACTCTCCTGTAAAAACACACCAAAACTTCCCAGTTCTCATGGGCTCACCTGTTCAGGCGGCAAGATGGTGCATGTTAGCTTTGATGCTCAGCAACTTCGAGCCATACTGGTTAGCATGCAGGAACCAGAGTAACTGCTTCGCCACAACAGGCCCATAAAAAAGATTTATTACCCGTGCACGATGCTTCAACATATCCACCTAGGGTTTTGCAGCAGGAACTGTACTCATGCACATTTTGCTTTCCTGAATAGCGCATCTAAGTCGCCGCACAAGCTCCTTAAACATTGGGTACGGACACTATGCTCCCGAAGTACTTGTTTCCACATTTTTCCAATAAAATACGAAATCGAGTTATAATGCCTATTGCTATCCTTTGGAGCACAACGCTTATTAGGCCACACAATCTAGAGGCTATCTAGACAGAATAGCTGATTCCTTGTTTAGCCCACATATTTGAAAGTTCAAGCTCAATAGTGCGAAGTCGAAAGCTTGTGATATTGATGGCAAAAAGGAGGTTGTGTATAGCAAACTGCTTGACCAAGCTGAACTAGCCTTCAGGATTGTCCAAGTCTTAGTCAGTCTGCCCATAGAGAAGGCTTTTGAAAAACCTACCTACTAGTAATAGGCTCACTGAAACACCTTGTGACAAACAACAAGAATGTTTTCCAGTGATAAACTGTTGTGTTGGAGAAAGATAGTGGAATAAATTTTAATTTGCTTTGTGCAATAATAAAAAATGAAAGAAACTTTTAAATTGAAAAAAGTAATTAAATAATAAGCCATTCTTGCAGGTGCTTAGATCTTCTGTGATCAGTTTTAAACCAATCACGCGGTAAAATGAGAGAGCTGTGGACAGAATCAAGCACAAACATTTTTGAGAAAATCAAATGGATATTATTTGCTTTATATTACCGCTCCGTGAGTGCCTCACCACAACGCCGAAGACAATTTGAGTTGATATGATACATATTTGCGTTAAACAAAGTCATCCTCTTTTGCTCTGTATGATTTTATTCATAAAAGCACGGGGCTGTGGCAAGCCGCTTTCAATTTAACTTTTTTTATTTCTGACAAATATTCTTTATTTGAGTTGTGCGAAGGTTAGAAACTAATATTCTGTACTGGTTCACAGCTGTTGGTGATGATTTGACACAACAAAGAAAAAGAACATAACGAGAAATTCAGGCGGTTACACTTATTTACAAAAAACGTTGCCAAACTACTGACCAGTTCACTCAACTCTAGCGTGATCCCACTGTTAGAAGAGGTGGCTGTCGTTAGCTCAACTAACTCCAGTCAACTAGAAAAACAGCATGATCACGTTAAGAATGAACACTTATTCATGTCAAGACCCCTCTAATTCTTCAAGTGAAAAGTGAAAACAAGCAGTGTGGTTTGGCTGTGAAGCTCTCGTTATAAGAAGTGTATGATAACGTAAACTCAAGCCACATGTCATATAAATTAGTACAATAGTTTCCACTAAGGCAAACAGTGGGTTATTGTTTAGCAGGACACAAGACCGCATCATGTATGGTGGTTGCTAATGTGCCTTTGCATGGTGCGCCCCAGTGGATTACCGCTTGGCATCAATAGTTGCCAAATGTCATCAATATTTTTTCATTAATCTATGGATGTAATGCAGTTTTGCAGCTCAAAAGGAATAATTGTGTCACATATTTGAGAATCAAGTTTTCTATCCCTCAATCTACGTCCTGAATGTATGCAGACAAGAAGAGACACTGCTGTTCTTGTTAGAGAAATTTGTTTCCAGATGGAGGTTAAAATAGCTTCAAGCTTAAAACATAGGAAAACAAGCTAAATATTTTGATGATCCCGCATACACTTCGTGTCTTTTGAGTCTTATTTAACTACGGAGAGCCTCACCAACAACAAAACTCGTGGTATTAGAATGTAATGTAAAAAGACAAAGATACCGTAAACAGCTTTATGGACATTTCCTACATAATACGCAAAGGGTCAATACCGCTTTGATTAAAATTTAGAGTCTACATCGCACATAAAAGCTCTAGCAGTTCCCATATGGGTTCTTACATGGTAGTGAAGAACGTTTGGTCATACAAATTGAGATCACAGCAACTTTGTACACTGTGATACTTTAAAAAACGTGACAGTGATTAAAAAGCAGCAGGCTTTCCATTGTTAGAATGATCAACATTTCAGCCAAGTCAAAAGTTCGATAGTTTTAGACGGTGCAAAATTTTGAGTTTTTTTTTATAGATTTGATGAGCTATCATTGCTCTGACTGTAAGTTAAGCTTCTCTGAGAACTTTTAAACTCACGATTCATACCTTTTTACACACGATTCCCCAAAACTCTCCTCTTTCAGTATTCGTTTCACTTTCACCCTTGAGTGAGTAGGCAATGCTGAATTCCTGTCTATTCACCCATGTACAGTTGACTTCTACATTTTGGCTTCATAACGCAACAATAACAGCGCTACCAACTGGAACTCGTGCAATAGTAAACAACTTTGCTTTTGGCTACATTATGTCACAATTTTTTTCATAATAATGTAATGAACAGAAAGTATGACGCAACTAAATTCACTTGCGACTGTGCAGACCAACTGCATAACGGTTTGAGGTGTAATTCTGTGATCCTAACAAAAATAGATCCTAATTGAGCCAAAGAATCACTGACTGTAAAAGTACAGCAAGACGTTGGATTAGCATATGGTTTCAAACGCACTTGTGCAGATGTAGCTTTATACCGAAATAATTTGTTTACAGGAATCGGCCTTTGACCGTTCAAATTAATGAATCATTCAACACCTTGGTTTGTCCTGAATGTAGTCACGCATATTTTAGTTTCAATGGAGCATTTAAAAGGGCATACATGTTTCCAGACCGGTCGTCTCACCGGAATGGCGAATTACTACCGTCCAAAATATATCGCAGTTATACAACTAGTTTGATCCGCTAATTATGGATTATGGTTTTCCAAACCACACAAGATGTATAGGTCAGGCAAATTACGGAATACATGATCAGAGCCGCACGCAAATATTTTTGGAGTTAAGCCCAAAAAGCAAAAAATTGTTGTATTATAGCCTACCGTACTATCAAATTTCGGCCTATCAATGAAGTGTCTCGCTAACTTTATTCGCGTGGATAGCTAAGCAGGGGCTAAATAAAGTTGTACCACTCATTTAAAAAGCTACTTCAAATTTTTCCCAAAATAAAGGTCACTCCAAACAAAAGAGGCATAAAACAGCTAGCAAACCACACAATGTGCATCTACTTCAAAAACAAAAACAACAGGAAGATGATAGAAGAAATAATCCTATTGCTGGACCACTTGAATATACTTTTAAAACTGGTATACTATTCGACATAACTTTATTCGCGTGGATAGCTAAGCAGGGGCTAAATAAAGTTGTACCACTCATTTAAAAAGCTACTTCAAATTTTTCCCAAAATAAAGGTCACTTCAAACAAAAGCGGCATAAAACAGCTAGCAAACCGAGTATACTTTTAAAACTGGTATACTATTCGACAAACCAAGTTCACAACAATCTCATCCAAAATGGGACACACTGGCACCAATCACTTCTCAGTATAGAAAAAACACAATCCTGGAAAGGATTACCTATACCTATTGAACCAGATGACTTACTATTGGGTCTGGCAAACCGAACGATCTCAAATGCGACTTAAGAACCTACAATTACCTCATACTCGGGTTTGACGGTGAGCATTTTCTGAAGTCGTTGTACATCTAATTCCCCACAGTCATGGTCTTTAAATACTGCTTTGATTGACATGCTTTGCTGTACACATGCTGCCTTAGTGCGCGACTAATTCCCGTTAAAATATGTGGGCCCGAAAAACTGTCATTTCAAGCCATCATTAGATGAGTGTCTTCGGGAAACCTAAAGAAAGAGCAATATTTTCCGAAACCCCGAGGATAGTGACTATCAGGAAAACACTGATGGCCCGAAAAGGAAGGCTGCTTGTCATTCTTAAATGAAAACGAATCGGATTCCCTATCACTGTCACAGGGTGACCAAAATTACGATAATTCACGACAAATTCGGTGCGTGATTTGAGATAGTTGTGTGAAATAAATGCTTGTGCAGTAGGCAAAAGCACTCGAAAACGACGACAGCCATAAACGAAATCACAACTCTCAACATAATTACTTGAAAAAGGAGGATATGGAGGTGGGTGCGTTAATGTTTGGGGACACAAACATTCAAAGTTTGCTGCCGTCGGCCATCTGGTCAACAGAGACCTGTGACGTACCTGGTAAAATCCTGTTTGACTTCTTTCAATGGATCTGCTGGGTAGTGCTTTAATCGGAAGCTAAGGTTGAAGGACCTGCACCCTATATATCATACATATTGGATAATTGAACCCAGTTTGAGGTTACCTTTCATCTGTTTGTAAACCATCCGACTAAGATCTAACCATTGCTAAAAAGAATTATATTAATAATGCACATGTGCATTACCCTTTGGCCATGCTTGTCCGTGTACCGCAAGCCGAAATAGTCAGCCTCAGCAAGGTCACCAATGGATCCGCAAACGAACGTGAAAACACGCCGACCAAGGTCATTTTTCTGAAATCGCATGTAACAACTAAATTGCCACTGCGTACTGAGATCGGGAGCTCCAGCGGAGGTTGTGTGTCATCCAGTAAACGTATCTTGCACATAATATTTTTGTCGTCATGTCTTTTTAACCTAGAACTTCCGACAAGTTCGTTGTCACCGCCCTCCTTAGCGTGATGCATGGACTGATCATTGCCACTTTTTAGAGCCAGCTTCTTCATCGGTCGCATTAGAACAAAAGCCCTCGCTGGTCAATGGTCCGGGCGCGAACACTCGATAACACGTCCTGGAATCGACATACGCGCTGCAGCGTATCACTCAGTAAAATGTAAAAACAAAGAAACGTTTTGTTCAGTTCAATTATTAATTAAGCATATCATGGCAAGCCAAACAGCACAGAATGGTGGAAGATAGGCTAAGACAGAACACACACAGGCAGTAAATGGCAGATCATGACAGAATCAGAGGGCTTGAATTCTGGAAGGCAAGTCAAGGTCGAATGCCGTCCCATTTACCGCGCATGTCAGCTCTAAAGCCCTCGGATGCTAAATCTGTACACCTCTCCATATAAACCAAGGGTTAAACGTGTTTGAAGACGTGCGGTCGGATGTATTTGGATGGGCATCCTGCTTAAGCATAAGTTTCCGGTTAATCAGTACATTCTCATCCTCTGTTGGATCAAAGCCATATACCACGTTGGCAATGGCACAAGCTAGCACATGCGACTGGCGTTACGAGAACGGATAGCACTATATCAGGGAGACTATTGGAGAGTGGATGGGCTACAGAACCATGAGGGTGATAATTAGTGAAGGGAAAAAGAATGACCCGCGGAACAGTTGCAAATGATGGGTTACGAAAGGAACCTTGGTTTGTACTGCACAATTCATGACCCAGGTCTCACACACTCAGTCGGGATACAACAAAGGCAATCATGATTACAACTTTTGCTCAAAGGCTCGAAACGCTGCTGAACTTTGCTGTCTTCTCCGGATTCTTGTCCTGGTGATCAATCTCTGTTAAGTGAGTAACTATGCTTCCTTCGCTAAAAAGCTATCGCTTTCAGTTTAGGCAAGTAGTTAACACGTGTCGAGAGTCCTTTCAAGCAACACCTTTGTTAGATGAGCTTTCCACTGCTCCAAAACGTCATCACCGTAGTCTTCTGTGTTTCGACTGAGTCAAGCGTAACCCACCTAACCTGAGTTCGTAGCTTATGGCTCCCACATTAAAGGGAAGCCTTGTGGAACGTTGCCGGAAACTCTCACCAGCGAGGACCTGTTAATTTAAACAGCTTGTGCCATAGACCCATATTTCATGAGTGTTCTAGTGTTCATCTTGCAAAGAGGCGAGCGCCCCTGAGATTTGGGACTTAATCATGCATTTCAGGTGTGTTAGAATCAGGTGACATTTTCGGGTAGACCATGTGAATTTTTCGACGGGCTTAGAGTCAGCGGCATGTTTAATGCCACGATATTGCGTAACTCATACTGTTAAAGTAACAATTCCTGCACCGGCGTTTGATGAAATACCATGAGTTGCGCCCCAGCAATTTCTCGGCTTTAAGCCACATTAAACGGTATCAGAAATCCGCACTTTAATGTACGCGATAGGATATGTCATTCTGAAGCACCGGTTTTCCAAATGCCAAATATATTTATTATATATGCAATCATCTTGTTGGGGTGGTTTGATGCACTCCCTCAATCACGAACATACAGAAGAAATAGAAGAGGTTTAAGCGCTGGTTTAACTCACAAAAAAGCTGTGATGGACATGACTGATACTCTATTCATTATTCTCTTGTTTTAATATTACATATGATGTACATATTCGCCAATTCGAATACATACGTGGTGGTTGTTAGACTTCGCTGAATTCTGGATTTCTAGTTCGTCTGGTTATACCGATATACGTACGAAACTTAAGTCTCACAGAATCTCATACCATCCGGGCCCCTACAACACAAACCGGCTGACATGTACTGACGGGTTTCACCTACCTTACAGCTTCCTTGATTTTCTGTTGGTCAGTCGGCCCCCATTATCTCTTTGCACCCCCAATCCGTCTTAATTTACGCTGGAGGAGTTCGACCTGCAGGACACCTCCTAGTGTCCTAATGTGGGCCTTGTCCGCTACGCCTCGNAATACATGCGTGGTGGTTGTTACGCTTCGCTGAATTCTGGATTTCTAGTTCGTCTGGTTATACCGATATATCCGGTATATCGACCCTTTTTCAGGCCAAACCAAATTTTTCGGACCGAATTTGGGATTTGTCTGGATTTCTAATTTCACCATCCCTTGATCTCTAGTTTTGCTTATCATGATCCTGAACCTTTACTCAACCGCTCAAGTTTACTGACGGCCAGCAACTGTTTTTCAGTTGTATCTCAAGCCGAAAAATTGCATCACTAAACTAGTCGTGCCACATGGGATGATATGAAACTCACTGCATATTTCCTTCGCTTCGTTGGCAAGGATGCGTATACTTCAATCAAAAATTTAGTCTATCCTAAATCCAACTTTTCTGCTTTCGCAATCTACGATTGCTTGTCACGTGATACGCATGAGTCCTCAATTTTGTCTTCCTTTGTCTCCTGCTTTTGCTTGCTACTTTCAAATCGTACCGGCCCGACCATGCCTTGCTGAGTGTGCATTCCAAAATTCGGGGAATAAACCTATGATTTTGATGATTACATCCCATGTCTATAGGTGAACTATGGCTTCTCATAAGCAGCAAGGCAGAGTTTTTAC